ATTAATCTTTTTTTTTTCTTGCTCAATTAAACTCTTTTAAATTTAATGTGTCTAAAGTTTTCTTTTAACAATGTACACATTTAGCAATGGGGAAATGATCTTTAGCCAAGACACTAATCCTGGACCTATAACTTGGCAAAGTATAACATGAACTTTTGTTCTTTGAGTTGCAACCACATGATGGATGTGCAGTCTGGCAGTTTTTTAGAAGGGTGTGGAGCTCACATATATAAGACATTAAGGCCAAGGTTAAAGCATGACTGATTTCACCGGTAAAGATGCAAGAAGACACTTTTTGTTTAGTCAGTTTATTATTTAGATAGATAGCAAACTAGTAAACCAAAAGGGCCAAACTCCTGTCATTCATCCTCCACACATCAAAAAAGACCACACCCAAACAAAAGGGCCCAATTACTGCACTGTAAGTAGTGGGACCCTTAGTTGCTGAGGAGTGAATAGTAGACTACAACCAAGAGGTTTTGGATCAGTAGTGGGTGGGCCCAGAGTCCTCCTGGACAGTGAAGAATCTTCCTGTCTTGTCTCACAGGAATCTGCTTTATAATTCCCATGAGCAGACACTCCTGCTCTAGAAACCGTATTTATTCCTAGTGATCAAGTCGGGCCAGATCAAGGACAAAGCTCATCAGTCAATCAGAGTTTAGGGTTTTGGAGCCACACCCTCCCATCTAACTCATCTTACACACTCCTCGCTTGTCTGAGTGTAAACCAAACATCTGTTTGATAACGGTCATGGGCAGATGCTATGCATGAAGAGTGGTGGGCAGAGAAAAGTGAGAGACACTGTCCCACGCAGCTTTCTTGGCATATCGTATTGTCTCCATTTGTTTTCTAAAAATAAGCCTTTGTAAATTCTAGTGTTATTTGTCATCTCTCTGCCCATCAAATCTTTGAATTTCATAACTGTTTGAATTCATGAGGCCTTCAGTGAAAAATCCAGCCCATGCTGATAGTTCACCTCCCCTTCCAGTGCTCTCTAGATTTTGAGATGATTCTCTCTCGATTTATTCGTTATTCTGTGTTTCATCCTCCCAGGCTTACATTCCATTTGATTTTCCCTGCAGCACCTAGAAAGCAACTAAAGGTTAACCTTTAATTACATGATACTGATTTACACTAAACAGTATTCAATCAATATGGAAAGCACTGTTGATAAAAAGAATCAAACTCTGTAAAATATTTAAAGAGATTTAATCTGAGTCAAATATGTGTGACCACAGCTCGTGATACAGCCCCAGGAGATTCTAAGAACATATGCCATGGTCGTCTGGCCATGGCATGGTTTTATACAATTTAAGGAAATGTAAGACATTCATCAATACATGTAAGATGTACATTGGTTTGATCAGGAAAGGTAAGATGACTCGAGAGTTGGGGAGAGGTAGGCTTTCAGGTCTTAGATAGATTCAAATATTTTACCTGGCAATTAGTTGAAAGCGTTTATCTAAAGACTTGGAATCAATAGGAGGGCGTGTCTGGGTTAAGATAATAGGTTGGGGAGACCAAGGTTCTTATTATGCACATGAAGTCTCTAGATAGGAGGCTTCAGAGAGAATAGATGATAAATATTTCCTCTCAGACTTAAAAAGGTGACTGATTCTTAGTTAATTCTTTCCTTGATCAGGAAAAAGACTTGGAAAGGCAAAGGGATTCTCTACAGAATGTAGATTTTCTCTACAAGAGATAGCTCTGCAGGGTCATTTCAAAATATGCTAAAGAAATATATTTTGGGGTAAAAAATTTCAATTTTTTTCAGAGGCTGCTATCTGTCATGTTGATATCTTATTGCTAAAAAGAGTCTATTTTATAGGTCTGAAGGTCTCTGTTTCAATATTAATGCTGGTCAGCTGTGCCTAAATTTCAAATGGGAGGAAGGTATAATGAGCCATGTCCAACCCGCACTTTCCATCATGGCCAGAAATAGTGTTTCAGGTTTACTTTAGAATGCCCTTGTCCAAGGGGAGGGGTACATTCAATTATTTGTGGGGCTTAGAATTTTATTTTTGGTTTACAAGAGTTAGAAACAGATTGCTTTGCCCTTCTTTAAGTTATGTGAGATTTATGTAATAAAAGCTGTGACTTTTGGCTATATTTCATATGCTTGTGTTTGTAAAAGAAAGTTTAAGACTCTTCTCCTTTGTAATGTAGGCACAGATGAAGGCCCCATTGGTCCATGCCATTTGCAGCAAATAAAAGAGAGAAAATAAACTCTACTTCAAAGTCTCCAAAGGGACTTCTCAGAGACTGTCTCCTTTTTACCTGGAAGGAAGGCTATTAGTGATGCAAGATCTTTTGTTCCCTAGTTCAGCTAAAATCCAGGTTCTTGTCACATGACCAGGAAAATTTAGGCACACAGACACATTGAAAAGTGAGGAGAGTGGAATTTATTAAATGAAAGTTCTCAGCAAAAAAAAAAAAAAAAAAGGGGAGTCTTGCCAACAGGCTCCTACCTCACAGATTGACGACCAGGCCACCATGCCTGAGCTGAAGAGGCCAGGCTCCTTACCCCTGCATGAGACACGAACCCCGGGTGGTGCTACCCCATTCTCCCAGTGTGCAGGTGGGCCCCCAGTCCATTGCAGGCATGCCCAGACAAGGCCCTGGGCAGGTTTCCCAATTTGCACAAAAGCATCTGATGTAAGCACTTGTGGGGTAGGTCGGAGATTCTCTGGGGATCCTCCCCTTATCTCCCTCCTGTGTCTATCATTCCTCCCTCTAAAGAAGTACATATAACTACTATTAGAATAAGAATAAGAATGAAGAGCAATCTTAACTGCTCCTGCTGATGGAAGGCACTGTTTGGGGACAGTCAGATCTCCCTCAGAGGCCTTATGTAAGGGTCCCTGGTAAAAAGGACCATTGTCCAAGTCTCCAGTTGCATGATCTTTTGGAGTTTGACGGTCTGAGAGTAAGAAGAGACAAATGGAGTTATTAAAAAATATGTATCAGGGCCGGGCTAACACCTATAATCCCAGCACTTTGGGAGGCCAAGGCGGGTGGATCACGAGGTCAAGAGATCGAGACAATCCTGGTCAACATGGTGAAACCCCGTCTCTACTAAAAAAAAAAAAAATACAAAAATTAGCTGGGCATGGTGGCACGCACCTGTAGTCCCAGCTACTCGGGAGGCTGAGGCAGGAGAATTGCTTGAACCCAGGAGGCAGAGGTTGCAGTGAGCCGAGATTGCACCATTGTACTCCACCCTGGGTAACAAGAGTGAAACTTCGTCTCAAAAAAAAAAACATGTATCAGAATGAAGCAAGAGGAGTGGGTAAGGACAGCTCAGAAATCCTGAGGCCTTTTACTGGTTTGCACACAGAGAAGGAGGCCAGAAGCCTGACTGTTAAAGAAATAGCAAACTTTTATCTTTTTGCCAGCACGTCAGGTTTCTGGGTTCCCTTACCCTGAGCCCAATTTTAAGCCAACAAGTTTAAGGTTTGGGAAATTAACTTTCCTGTGTTTGGAGGATGCATCCGAGAGATGTGTCCTGTAGTACAAAGACACAGTTATCTATCAGTGAAGAGAGTACAGAGAAAGAAAAAGGAAAAAGAAATTTTATTTTCATAGGTGTCCCAGGGGTTCAGAATGCATTCAAAAGGGGTAGACTGAAGATGAATGACTACATATCTAGAAAGAGGGGAGCAAGGCATCCCAGGTTTCTTTCCCTTCCTACTGAATATCTGGGGTACATGAGGGAGAGAAAGTGAGATGTTCATTTTTTTTCTTCATCCTATATCCCCAAGTCTTTGCAACCATGAGAGGTTGCTGCCCACAGGTGTCAAAGCTGCTTTCACCCATGTTAACAGGGGTGTGGAGAGTGGGAATATCTGCTCTTACCCACATATGCCCTATCTCCCCTGCTGTTAGTAGCCTTTGAGTTCCCTCTGTCTCATTTATGCCATAGATACTAGCATGACCTTTATCCATAAAATGGGAGACTGGGCTTAACTGGAAGGAATTAGTCATGTTCACCTGCACTGTCCCTTTTAACTTCCATTATCCTCTGAAGGTAAGTAACTCCTTCCTTGCACATCATGCCACCCAATGCCTCAAAGAACTCCAGGACTTGTGCTCACAACTGAAGTTGTCCTGAGGTCCTGTGGCTGGACCCTGAATCCAGAAAGACAGCCTTGGAAAAAAATTACTACTCCTGTAGCCAGCACCTTATTATTATGCATGTTTGAATGACTTTATAGGATTTGATTGCCAAAGAATCTTGCAAAAACAATTTTTTCCCCTAGGGCTGCATACCTATGGTTAGCCATGTTATTTGTGTTCCCATTTTAGACAAGAACGCTAATATCATAGATTAAAAACGTAGAATCCAGTATTACACAAATAGTGAAAACTGAATCCCAGGTTTTTCAAAAGGCACTTTGATTTTAGATCTTCAGCCTATTATTCTATTGAAAGGCTCAGAGAAGACATGCTGTGAATGTACTCAAAATAACTGACACTAGAAAAGGTAACAGAGATGTGTAAATCTTGTCATAGCACATGCATGAGTGGGCTGGGGACAGGTGAGTTCCAGAGAAATGTGGCCCTGAATGTCATTAAGCTGATGCTGTATTATACCAGGGCCAAGGTGGCCCTCAGATTGCTTTCACAACTGGGTAGTTAATGTGATTCTCCAAACTTTAAATAAATAGAAATCTGGGGGAAAATATAGAAAACTAGACGAAAACACTCCTTTTAATCCCAATATAAAAGCTTTACTTCTTTTCAGTATTCTTCCAGGAGAAGGATTCTTTGGGCTCTTTGCCTTCCACCTTCATTTCTGTGAAAGGGTTTGTGCAAGAGGTACTTGAGAATGCTATAATATAGGGCTTTGTTTCTCATGGGAACACGAAGGAAAGCGGAAAACCCTCCAAAGTGTTTAGTGAGAAAACATAACCTTTATGCCTTTCTTTGATGGGGCGAGTCAAGTGGTAGGGACTAGAATTCAGGTCTTCAGTGGGTATATAAATATGTGTGTGTGAAAAGCAGCCATCACACTTTGTGTGCCAAGTGGAACCACTGGCTTGGTAGATTTTGCTACATTTTTTGATTTTTAAACTCCAAAGAAATATCCCAGATAACTGTCATGAAGCTGGTAACTATCTTCCTGCTGATGACCATCAGCCTTTGTAGTTACTCTGGTAAGTAACTGGAATACATCTGGAGTATATGATGTTTCTCTACTTTTCTGTTAATAAGAACACAGCTAATGAGCCTTGACTCACTGACAGTAGAATATGGTAGTAGGAATTTATTTTATTTTATTTTTAAGTTTTATTTTTAACAGACATAATAATTGCACATACTTGTAGGGTTGGAAGGAGTTCTGGAATCACAGGAGATGGTGATGTTGGAAAGTATTTCAGATACCCACCATCTAAGCTCTAACCCAATATAAGTATTCTCCTTAATACATCTTGTATAGGAGGTTAGCCAACTTCCACCAAGGATAAACAAAGCACATTTCACTGCTGGATATTGGTCACCATTAATTTTTCTTATTTTCTTCAACCTTGAGTCAAAATCTGACTTTGTAATTTATTTCTTCTGTGCCTTTAAACTATAGGAGTCATTCTTGCTATCACCTCCAATTAACCAGTTTGCTAGCGTGGTACTCCTGAGACAGCTACATTCATCTTTCATCCACTCAGTGGATATTTATTGAGTGGCTACAGTTTGTTGGGCACTGGATAAGCATTGGAAGATTTAGACATAAATAAGTCATAAATATTTTTCTTAACATGCTTATAGTCTGGTAGGGGAGATAAGCCTCCTACAGAAGTTACTATAATTCTAGACTACTGTAAATGCACTGTAAGATATGCAGATAGAACTCTGTGTGTTGGTGGGTGAAGAGATCGATCTTCAGGTAAGGATATAGAAGCTTCTTGGCTTCTTGGAGGAGAATGGGAACTGATTTCTTTTTTGGAAGAAATCATTGTAACTATCAGGAAGATAGTTTGGGTACATGGAAAAAACATTTCATGATGACCATTGCTCATTGAGAGAACAGAAGTCTTTGAAGATCTTCTCCTAGGGAGCTCTAAATACATACAGAGAAGATATTCTCCAAAATGTCTGAAATAAGAAGTATGGAGATTAATTATGAAAAATTGATTGCTGCCCACACCTACACTGGCAACTTTGACTTGTGATGTTTGTTGAATTTCTGAAAAAAATTGTAACTTCACCAGTTTTGGATATTTCATTGTTCTCTAGTGTCCAGGGACAAGTATCTATGGGCAAAGGTGGTAGCAGAAAGGAGATAAAGAAAATAAATATTGCCCCCTCTGGGTGAGAATTTTGGAGGGACAATAGGTGATAGAAATGGGGAAAAAATGTATGTACAGGCTCCATTTTAATAATTTGAATGGGGAAATAACAGGTTTCCAAAGGAAAATAAGCTATGGCAGGTCTTAGCCAGTAGGAGGATATGTATTTTTACATGTGTTCTCACATACGTGTGTGCATTTATATATCTGTACACATTTTTGTAAAAATATATGTCATAAATATTTTTCTCAATATCTACTGACCCCCACCCCCCAATTAATCTTCTATGGGAAAGTTATATTTCTAAAGAAAAAGATGCAAAATGCAATTGTCCTATGTAAAAGCCTTGATAGTGCTCCATTGCCCACAGGAAAAAATTTCAAACTCCTTTGTGTGACATCCAGCATTTTTAAAAAATCTGATTTCACTCAACTTTTGCAGTCTCACTCCCTTTTTCTTTCATCCACTGGTCATAGCCTATTAGAAATCTACACTCCAGTCGTCTGGGCAGAAGGCTCACCATCCTGCATATGCACTTATATCTTAACATCTCTGTGCTCTTATTGGTCATGTTTCTAAAATGCTCCTCCTCTTCTTTACCTTATGATCCTGACTTTTGCCTCAAGACATAGCTCTAACACTTCTGAAAATTTCTGCAGCACTTTCTCACATTAGAATTAGTCATCTCTTTCTTGTGTTTCCATAGAGCTCTGTCCATAATGTTAGCATAGCACACGCTACACTGTGGTGTACATAGATCTTTATCATCCACTGGACTGTGTGAAGTCTCTGAATGGAATCTTTGTCCTGTTTGCCTATGTATCTGCACAGACTAGCAGAGAGTGGCACTCAATTATGTTTGTAGTGTTGAGTTGATTGGTTGGGAGCAGTCTCCTGGGCTGCGGTGGGGTCCATTCTTGTCCCTGTGTGGATATTCACTACGGCATATCTCCTTTAGTTTCAAAGCTGTGAGCTGTGGAGATAGCCACATACAAAATACCATCCCCTTCAGTCAATCACAAGGATTTGTTGAATGCTTGCTCTGTGCCAGGCATGGGTGCAGTAGTGAACAAAACAAACATTCCTTGTTCTCATGGAGCCTCCATTCTAATGAGAAAATAAAGACAATAAAAATAGTAAATGAAGAGTTGCTTTTTTAGGTAATGTTAAGAAAAAATAAAGAACAGAGAGTGACAGAGACCGTTCATTGTAGGCTTTTCTGAGGAGGTAACATTTGAAGATAGTCCAGAGAATGTGGGGAAGAAATATATATAGCTAACTGAGGGGAAAAAAGTTCTAGATAGATGGAATAGCAGGTGCAAAGGCCTAGAGGCAGAAGTTCTTGATAGAAATAAAATGAGTGCGTCTGGAATGGAGGTATTGATGGACACAGGGGAAGATGATGAAGTCAGAGTTTGGGCCCAGATGTGCCTGTCTCACTTGGTTTCTCCTTTGCCTGCAGCTACTGCCTTCCTCATCAACAAAGTGCCCCTTCCTGTTGACAAGTTGGCACCTTTACCTCTGGACAACATTCTTCCCTTTATGGATCCATTAAAGCTTCTTCTTAAAACACTGGGCATTTCTGTTGAGCACCTTGTGGAGGGGTTAAGGAAGTGTGTGAATGAGCTGGGACCAGAGGCTTCTGAAGCTGTGAAGAAACTGCTGGTAACTGCAGCTTGGGAGGCGAATCTGCTAAAGGGGAGGGCATGGTGACCCTGAATGTCCACCTCATCCTCCTGTCCCTTGTAAATGTGCATTTATACTGATTATACTCATAGGAAGTTTGCATGTCCTGGAATCTCAGGGAAAGTACAATTTCTACATGTCCAGGAAGCATTTTTGAATGAAAGAGACATGTGTTATAGTTATGACATTACCATTTACCACTTTCATCATTGTGGATGAGACTTAATCACTCTGAGTTTTTGTTTCTGCATCAGTAAGATGCTGGCCAAACAGGATACTGGAAGTGAATATTTTTTGAAACATGCTAATTACATGTAAGCTTCTCTAATTTTTGTTGTCCTTCTGCCTTTCAGGAGGCGCTATCACACTTGGTGTGACGTCAAGATAAAGAAAGATCAGAGGTGAATGTGGACGGAGGATGATACTCCCTATCCTTCCTGGCTGAAACCCATTCTACCAATTACAGACCAAATGCCCTAAAATGTAGTGACCATGAAAACAAATAAAGCAATGAATAGATTTTTCAGTTGTCCTATTTTTATTTCTGGGGACTCTATTCAGAAGGACATACCCAGATTAGATTTTCCTTGAATCATAAACTCGAGAGAGCCTGTTTTTATAAAGACAATCCAGAATCTTAAGACATAATCATACCTTCTCCTTTCCTTAAGTTAAACATTTTTATTTTTCTCAACTGTTTTTTATCTCAGTGTTTCCAGACCCTTCACTTTCCTATCCCCATCTTAAAGAAATTTTTACAATTAAAAAATTTAAAAAAGAGTTTTCAAAATATTGTCTGATAAGACAAGTGTCTTACTAACTTCATTGGTTTGGCTTCTGTGTCAGTAGATTCCTAGTTTACATTAAGTTTGTAGTTAAGCTATGGCCACTCAATAGCTTTCACAGATCCTTCCACTTGGGCCTTTTCTACATCATCCTTAGGCAAATGGGTGATGAACTGTGTTTTCTTTCCTCTATTCAATCATCTACAATGATGAAAGAATTAGCTTTCCAAGGAATAATTCTGGTAATGTCATGACAGAGTAGATTTCAAGCTCCTCAGCAGGGCATACAATGCTGTTCATGATCTGGCCTTTGGTTACACATCTGGTCTTCTTATCTACATTCCTTTCTTCACATGTGCTCTACTCCAGCCACACTGAACAGATAACTAAATCCTTTTCTTGCTAACATTCTTATACCTTAATGAAAAATAAAGTTTCTTCCTACCTAGAATGTCTGCAACCATTGGCCTTCAGACCCAGCCTGTGCCAGTCTTGGGACTATTTGCTTTCAGGTCCATTCCCTACCTTTCTCCCGCTCTGCTCTCCTCTGTGTTGAGGGAGGATAGGAGACATGATGCTGATTCCTGCAGCTTGCATTTCTCAGGTTCCCAAATCATTTGACATTTGGGCTAGGTTCTGCCCCTAGGAGGTGCAGGCAGTAGATAGGAAGTAGGAAAAAAGGAAAACTATTGAATGGCGCCTTCTGGCTCTGTATTTGGGAGAAGTCTCTGGAAATGGCTGTAGCATGTCTTGGGCTCCAGGTCCTTCTAGATAGGCCTGCCTTGGTTCCGGCTTTAGCTGGGTGAGTCTTCTGGCCTCTGGTCACACCACCTCCTTTGTTTTCCTCTCCAGCTGAAGTTGTTCATGGTTTCCTCCTGTTGTTAGTTTCTGGGTGCCTCCCCATCACCTACTTGACTTTTTAGCTTTTCTCATGTCTATTCAATCAGTTCTTTCATTATCTTCCTTCTGTTCTAAGTACTTTGAGTAGTTTCTGTTTCCTAATTGATTCCTAATTAAGGCAATGTTAAATATTATCTCTAGGAATATTATCTTAATTTCCTACTATTGTTTTGCTTCCGTTTTTTGGCAACTAAAATAGGTTTCACTTTGTGAAATTTTCTATTTTATTTCCTCATTTTATCTGCGTCTCATTGATAGATTAGGTTGCCCAGCTACAGTAATAAATAATTCCAAATCTCAGTGGCTTAAGTGCACAGCATTTGACCTTATTCCTCATACTGTACGGTCATCTTTGGTTGGCTATACCTATGATCAATGTTTTATGAATTCTGTAACAGGAGCTGATGGAATAGTTTGTCTGGAGCATTTTGCTTATTATATTTACAGTGAAAGAGAACTTGGTGAACCATGAGTTAACTCTTAAAGCTTCTTCTTAAAAGTGAAATACATCAATTCCAGCCATGTTTAATTAGCCAGAGCAAGTCATTTGACCATGCTTGACTTCTTTAGGAAGAGGATGTATAATTATCCTATAGAAAAAAGCAGTGCCAAATATGATTAATGTAATGTAATTTACCACATTTCTTGATGACTTCAAAGTAATTGTCACCTTAGATGCCTCTATCCTACTTGTACTTTTCTTTTCTATTGAATTATGTGCCATCTTTCCTCCTACTTTAGTTTTCTATTTGACCATTATTTTTGAGTTTCTTTAAATAGCTCTTATTATGTTTGATTTCCCTTGAATGTTGATACCTCCAAAGATTCTTAACTTGGTTTCCCTTCTACTTTTATTCTGTGCATAACCTTCATTGGGGAATCTTATGTACTACCATAGATACCAATATAGTCTCCACGTAGGAACTACAAAATCTATAGCTACAATCTGTGGTTTTTTTTTTAAGAAGAGATTTAGTTACCTATAAGACGCTTCCAAGAGATGCTCTTTTTTTAGTTTTAATTCAACAGATTTTTACCTGAGCTCATTGTTTCTCTTTCAAAACACACTCCTATATTCTACTTCGCTATTAATTTTACAGCACAGACATGTTCATGGTTGCCTGAGACAGAAACTTAGCAATAATCCTAAGTACTCCCTCTCATCAGCCTCCCTTCTGATTGGTAAGCAAGCTTCTTATTATAAACCCTTTTCACATCTATTGCATACATTTTTCATGATCACAACTGGTACTGTTCTTCTTAAAATTTTATTATTTCTTTCTTGCCTTTCTTTTTCTTTTTTTTGAGATAGAATCTCACTCTAGCACCCAGGCTGAAGTGCTGTGGTGCCATCACAGCTCACTGCAGCCTGGACCTCCTGGGCTCAGATGATCCTCCCACCTTAGCCTTCTGAGTAGCTAGGACTATAGGCACACACCATCACACCTCACTAATTTTCTTTGTATTTTTTTTACATACTATGTTGATCAAGCTAGTCTTGCACCCCTGGGCTCAAGCAGTCCTCCTGCATCAGCTTCCCAGAGTGCTGGGATGACAGGTGTGAACCGCTGTTCCCAGCCCAAGATCTTGTCATTTCTCATCAAACTACTATGTTAATCTCTCAAGTGACCTTTGTATTCCCAAAGGTCCCCTTCTAATCCATCAGCTACACACAGAAAGTGGCTTTCTAAAATACAGGAATCATTCCCGAACTTCAAACTCATCAATAGTTTTTCAGTGCTGATTGATAAAAAGAGTCAGATACTATATCAAATCAACAGACACATTCATAATATAGGTTTAAACATATGTGTTTTCATACTTATTTCAAAGTCTCTTTTCTAGACTGTGAAGTTAAATTGATAGTGACTCTAATGTACATGTCTGTATCCTCAGCACATTGCACAGAGCCTGAAGATAGCGTTGGTTCTGTGTTTACTGAATGGGTTTGTTTTTGTTAAGTTTTATCTGATTGGGTTGGCCCCTTTGTTTTGTCCACCAGTAATATTATTAAGCCATTCACTGCTATCTCTTCCAGTGTTTTGCATGTTTGAGAAGGATGCCTCTCTATGCCTTCATCAAGTTATTAAATGGAAAAGATTGGGGGTAAAGTTTTCTGCCACTGTACTCAGAGTAATAGCAGTAATCTGGCAATTTACTGGGTTTAAAGTTTTTTTTTCCCCAGAGGTTTATCAAAGAGAGTGATTAAGAAGGAATATGGGGACATATTATATTTGGGAAGCCAGGCAGAAACTGATGATAAACATTATCATAAAAGTGACAACACCAAATGCTGGTGAGGATGTAGAGAAGCTGGATCACTCACACATTGTTGGTATGAAAGTAAAGCAGAACAGTCACTCTGGCAAAATAGTTTGACATTTTCTTAAAAAAACTAAACATGTAACTACCATTAAACCCAGTAATTGTAGTCTTGGGCATCCATCCCAGAGAAACAAAAACTTATGTTTATGCAAAAACCTGTACACAAATGTTCATAAAAATTTTATTTTTAGTAGCCCCAAACTGGAAACAACACGGTTGTTCTTCAATGGATGAATTGCCAAACTTTTGTACATCTGTGTAATGAAATACTACTCAACAAAAAAGGAGAACAAGCTATTTATATTCACAGTAACCTGGATTTATCCAGGATATATATATATATATACACACACATACATATATATGTGTATATTCTCTAAGGATTTAGAGAATTACACTAAGTGAAAAAAGTCAAACCCCAAAGGTTAAATGCTGTGTAATTTTATTTATATAACATTTTCAAAATGACAAAATGATAGAAATAAAAAACAAATTTGTGATTTCCAGAGGTTAAGGAGAGGGTGGGGGCAGGAAGGAAATGAGCATGCTATATAAGGGTTGTGTGAGAGATCCTTATGAGGACAGAATTGTATGGTATCAATGTCAGCATACTGGTTTAGATATGGTAGCATAGTTTTGCAAGATACTACCATTGGAGGAAACTTGGTAGAAAATATGCTGGATTGCTCTGCATGATTTCTTAAACCCTCATGTGAATCTAAAATTATCTAAAAATAAAAATTTAAAAATGATTTTAAAGATATCAGAATATAGAAATATATAATATACATATAATTATATGGAATATAATTCACATAGGTGATATATAATTATAATGATATACAACTATAATTATGTATAAATGTAGTTACATATATGCATATATGTAACTTTCATTCTCTTCATCCATAAATTCCACAAATTAGAGGAAACTACTGTTCACATTTTGATGTACTTTTATCATGACATTTTCTAAATTTTTACAAACATATATGAATGACACATCTTATTTAAATTGTTATCTATGTGAATATTAATTTATATAATGTATATTATATTGTTTTGAATTTTTTCTTTTTTGTTATCATAAAAAGTGCTACAGTGAACATGCATATATTTGCATACATTTTTGCCTTTATGTCTTCAGAAAAATCCTGGAAATGGAAATGCAAGGTCCGGAATTATATGATGTCTAAAGTTTTGATAGCTAGTCACACATTTCAATTGGAAAGAACAGTTGGTATCTCAGGTGATTGAGGTCAGAGAAGTGCCATTTCCAAAGATGGGATTAAGGACCCAGGACAATGCCTAGGGTGCGACTGTTCTCCCTGAGCTAGCTGTAAGTCACTTTTTATTATGTGCTGGAGTGTCAAGAGATGCAAGGTATGAATGATGTGATTTCTGGGTTTCATGTCTAGGATAGTCATTACAAACAGACAGGTACATACTATTTATTTGCCACATTATTTTTTATTTAAGGAAGCAACCAGATGAAGAGCTCTCAGCCTA